CACACCCAACATATCCGTCATCACTTGTTCCCAGGTTGCCCGGCCCGGTGGCATTCAAGCACATTTTTTTAATTAAAAGAAAACAAAGTCCATTACAGGCCGCTTCAGCGCGGTAGTGGGTAAGTGGAAAAATAACGCAGGCAAAAGGAGAAGAAAAAAATAAAAAAGCATAATAAATGTGCTTCCATAAGAGCTGTTTTCTTTGGCGCTGTTTTCTTTGGCGCTGTCTACCTAGTGCTGACCAAGCCACAATTGCTTTTGTTGTTATTGTGTCAGCGCAGTCAACCGTTGCCACAAACGGACGGCCGGCGGAACAGTCAGCCAAGCATTTTTGCGTCGCTCTGCCAGTGGCGCTGCTACTTATTCTTTGCAGCACTCATTTTTTCAATGTTTGTTCTTCTACCCCTCGGCACAACGTCTTGTGTACGCGCTTCGTTCGTTCTCAAAGTAATCAGTCAACTGCTGTGCTGCTAGGGATGCAAAATTTATTTTTAAATATATCACCGGAAAAATATCGTCGATGGTTTACTATATGTTACTATTTTTTAAAGTCTAGTTATATTCAATGCTAATTTTAATAATTTTTAATCCCAACAAATGCAATTAGAAAATACTTTTGTATTTCGTATTAATTTGGCTGGGGCTTAAAGTGCCAAGGCCTGGAATCGAAAAAATGTTTAGGCCATAAAATTGTCGTAGGCGCATGGTCCGCCCTTTTTAATAACTAGGTATCAATATTTGACGATAAACTGAATGTTCGCCAAGGAATGAATGATATAAAATTGTATGATCAGTCAAAACAAATTTTTAAAATCAATAGATACAAGTCGATGTTTAAATCCTCGTTGAATTTGGCATCGATGCATTACCAATTGCTCGTTGTTTAAAATTTTGAAATATCGATTGCAAGCATCGAATTTTAAAACGATCTTATAGATTTTTTAAAAACATCGTTGCATCGTTTGCATCCCTTTGTGTTGCTGCTGTACTTATTGTTGCTGCTTTTCTACTACATACCTTGCTATTGGAAACGCTGGCGCCGCAGTCGCCGCTACCTGCTCACGACTTTACATCAGTGATGGCATTTGCCTTGAAACCCATTGTATCGAAAACCAGCTATACAGTATTTCTGACCGGTTTGTCTGCTATTTTACAATCGAACACGAAATGATAAAAGGCCATATTCTTTGATTGAAACGAAAACACCATAAGTTTTTATTAATTAAAAAAATATATGGCTAAGCATAAAACAATCCAGCTCTGAAAGTATTCAACTCGCAACCCGCTGGAGGTAACAAAGGAAGAGGAAGGCCTCCTCTGCGTTGGAAAGACAAGGTGGAGAAGAACTTAGCTTCACTTGGCATTTCAAATTAGCGTCAGTTGGGAGAGAAGAGAAACAACTCGTGTTCTTTGTTGTCACACAAAGTGGAGGGATCTACAGTTTTACGCCGACTCCGAACGGCGATTGTATTTTTATGAGAAGCTGTTTTTCATGGAAGAAATACACTCGGAGGTTTGTCACTGCCTGCCGAGGGACGACTGCTGTTAAGAAGACCTTTTTATATATTTTTTGCGAAGTTGCTTTGACCCTGGCTTGAACCCAGGTGCTGATGAGTGAAAGCGCGCACTGCTTACCACTACTCCACAGCGGCCGACAAGTTAAAACAGTCGGGTCTACGTAACCGGAACGATCCAGACTTATATCTGGCCAAGGACTGTCACTCCAGCAACACTCCCCAAAAATCCTTTAGGGAACTTGTATGCTTTCTACAACAACAACAAGTTAAAACTTTTACCATGGGTAAAATACTCGGCCACACAAAAGAAAAGGTCACGTACTGTTGACAGGAATATCTTACCTACACTGTTTTGGTGCTCTGAACACCTGAAGTCACTTTTGTTCCATCACATCAGGATTTTGTCGTACCTACCCTCAAAGAACATTAGGAAAAAATCGTGACGTTATGTAGCAAAACAGACTTCAGGTTCGTGTTCAGCGGATAAAAATACATTTGAGAAGGATAGTCTGATCCCCGAACGCAGACACTTCTCCATCAGAAATTGTATCTAAAAAAGGAAAATGTGCCCACATTATCCATCACTGCTTTATACTCGTTGGCTTCGCTTGGATTATTCTGCTTGCCACGTTTTTGTAGTTGTTTTGTTATTCATTGCTTGTTTGTTTGTCTTTCTGTTTTGCTTTTGCTTAGTTACTTACTTAGCTCAGTAAATTTTACAAGTTCTCTGGCTTTAATGGCTCTGTTGTTACTTCTTATTTGCGAAAATTCGTTGTATGTAAGCACTGCCGCCGTAGGCTGACGAAGTCATCATCACCGTAGTCATCATAATCGATGGTTTGGCTCAATTTTGTAGAATTTTATCTATTCTAAGCATATTTTTTAAGAGTAATTTTTTAAGGTTTTTGTACATTTTTTGTATTTATTGACTTTTCTTTGCTATTGTGACTCAAAAAACCGTCCGTCCATCGATGAGCACTATCGGCATTCGCTTTATTGCCTGCCTGGCTGCTTGCTTTTGCGTTTTGCGTCCAGCCGGCCATTAAATGTTAGGGGGGAATTGTGGTAGAAAAACAAAAGCGAAAGAAAAAATAAAAGCAAACAAAACACAAAACCAAGAAAAATATATAATGGAAATAAAGTGTAAAAATTTATACATTAATACGGTGGTCGTCGATGAAAGTGTGTTGGTAGAGGTGGCGCGCGGTATGCAGCCGCCGTACAACAGACAAGGCGTACATTGTGCTGAAAAAGTAATAAACGCGCTGGGATCGTAGAGAAGTAAAAAGTAAAAAAAAAAAATCGTTTAGACGCCATTTTAGTGGCATTAAAGCCGGTCAAGTGGTTCATGAATAGCCGAACGGGAAAATGGGTATGGAGTCCGCTCTGTACTAAAGATTTTTTACCAAATAAAATATAGCTGTAATATTCTAAAAAATCTCAAAAAGAAAAATGTTCCTTCTTCTGGAATAACACTTCTCAGCCCATGCACTCACTAACTACACTGTCCTTCCAAATGCATTTCGCATTTATTCTCCAGTTTTACCGCCCTTTTATCTCTTCTCATCCTACTTCCACTTTCCTTACAACTGTTTTCCCCTTAAGCGCCTTAACAGCCCACTTTCCAATTTTCCATTTTGCAATTTAGACCATTTAGAAAAAAAAAACTACCCCCACCCAAACTCCAAGCATTGGGACTCCATCAATTGCCACTCCCACCGTTTGTATTGTATGCCCGTCACTTGCTCGGCCAATCGACCGTCCGCCCGCCTATCCCCGCTATTGTATACGCCTGAAAAATCAATAAAAATAACAAAATACACATTTTTTCCAACAACTGAAAACTGATGCAGCAGCTCCTCCCACCAAAATTCGCTATGGCGCAAATGCATAATATCGAACGAAAAAAAAATCGTTAATGCAAAATTCAGCGAAAAATTATATATATTTTTTAGTAAATGCAAAAAGTCGTGCTTATCCACTTACCGCTGCTGGTTGGAAACACAATCTACAGATGCTTTCCATGTCGTTTGCTCAGCACAGCCTGTGTTGCGTTCCTAGCGGCGTTGGCGTTAGCTAAGTCAGCTCCCAAGGAATCCAACATCGAGGGGGTCTCGCGCGCCAGCACCGTTCGCTGTTTTGAAGCCCGCTGCTGTACTTCAGCAATTCCAAGCTGCTCTGTCAATGCTATTATTTTCGAAACTACACAAAAATACCCACACTTTTTCACACGGCTTGTATGTACGCTTTTTTAATTCCAACAGTTCAAATTCTGACCAACGGAGCACCAGCGGATTCTATTCTTTCGCGAATTTTTTTTTGCGTCTCGCTTCACTTGCGCCTTCTCTGCGATACCAACTCGCGTTGGTAAATGTATTTCGCGTTTTCGTATATTTTTTCCACAGCTACACACTCAATTTGCGCACAGCTTTTTGTCCAATTGATATTCTTTTTCACAATTCACAAATTGGCGGTACGGTTCTATCTTTTTCTTTCCTCGTTTATTTTCTAATTAAAACGCTGTTTATGTTTTGAAATATTTCTTTTTTCACTTTGTTACTCCACATTGTTTGCACTTGTTGTTGCTGAAATGTTCCTTGACTTTGACTACTAATCAAAATAATAAAACTTTTTTATTGCAACAGAATTCGAAGCATTCTCGGCGTTCGCTTGTGGAAATGAAAAAATTTTTCTACTCGTCCAAGTTCACCCACAACTCGTCAGTGTAGTTGTTGCTGCCAACGCAAGTGCTTCTAGCTGTCTCATTTACACAGGTGCATTTCAGGCAGGCGCCGGCGGACAAAGTATGCGGTTATGATGTGCGTAAAAGAGTAGACAAGATATTAATGGGTCAAATCGGATGAAGTGTAGCGAGAATAGAATAGTACAGGGTTGCTTCAGAGTACAGAGTGATATGAAATCGCAATTAAATTTTTGGATGCCATTTTTTTAGAAAAATGTGGGACTTGCTGCAGAGAATGTATAGTAATTATACGTTTTCTGCTTACTGTTACCAAAGAACGTAAATATAAGGTGGTAGCAAAGAACGTACGTAAATTTGGTGTTGTCGCTTCTTATACATTTACACATACGTTCTTTAACGTTGGTTTGTTCTTGTAAGTAATCGTAGAATCTTGCTTTTTGCACAGGTCATGCAGGTCCAAAGGTGTGGAAATTTTAATGCACAGATAACCACACCTTCATCTACCGCGACCACAAACGATAGCTTAATCAAAGAACGTAAATCTACGTAATATTTACGTTCATTGGTTTGATGCACACACAATTGTTCGCGTGTGTTTCAGGCCACTGATTTGTTGTCTTTAGCAGCGTTGCCAACTATGCATGTTGCAATCAGATTTTGTAATGTCCAAAAGAGGCGCCCTCTCTTTCTTTCTCGCTCACTCTCACACTTTCCGCATTGAATTTCGCTCTGCACTTTTTTTTTTTGCGGCTTCGACAAATTTCGACGTTGGGCTGCTGCTTGGCTATTGGCGTTTATGTTATGTTGTTGTCTTCCGTTCTTTGCTGAAGAAGCATTGCAGTTAATTTTTCGCGGTTGCAGTTGTCGGTAAATTAAAGTGGGTGCAAGTTAATTAAATGGAAAGATTGCTAAAATAAACTATTCCGCGCATGCAAATGTGTCACAAGTTCTCTAATAATTCACCAGTGAAATTAATTCCAAACTAAAGGAAGCATTTGCGGTGTCCATTTTTCCTTAAAATTGCTTGGTTACGCGGCAAAAGGATAACAAACAAACAATCGGCGAAAGCGTGCGAAAAAGGTGGGCAAAAACAATATATAAAACAATATAAAATCGTCGCATTGCAGGAAAAATGGATTTTATTGGCTTTTTTTTATATATATGTTACACGCTGCTGACTGCAGCGAAAAATGTTCGAAACACATTCTGAGCAATAAAGTGGTGCCGCAGTAAGAAGAAAATTCGTGAAAAGTTCCTGCAACTCGGCTTTTTCACACATCTATCTGCACACTGTTGTTTTAAGCCAGCATCCTGCGAGCAGCTGTCGCGCGAGTTACGAGTTGGCTCAGCGTGTGCATTTTCCAAACGATATTTTAGTTTCTCTAATTTTATGCATGTGCTCTACTAATGCAATTAACGCCAGCCGCGCCACTCGCCATTAGAAAAGCGTTTGAGTGGTATTTGAGGGAAACAAAAAGTTGCAGCAGCATATCAGCAACTTAAAATATGGCACGAGAAGTGTGACAAAGAAGAAAAGTTACGTGGAAAATGTTGGTGTGAATTTCGAAAAAGTCATCATAGGAAAAGTGCATACTAGATACGCATAAAAACTAGTGAAAAATAGAAAGCTAATTAGAGTGCTGCTGCAGCCGCAATTTTCAGTTAAGCGCTGCCACCATCACCAACACGATGGACAAGTGCCGTTGCGAGCATCGTGAAAAGTCGACCGTTTTTTTTCTTTTTTTTTTCGCTTGCAAAGACAACTAATTAAAAGGCAAATAATAATTACGTTTACCGCGACAGTCGGGTCTAGGTAACCGGAACGACACAGATTTACATATGGGGCATTCCAACGTAACGGGTGGAACATCTTGTCTCGTTAACTAAGATAGTATGTAATGTATTACTTAATCGCTAATTTTCACAAAAAATTAAGTTTCCACGAGTGGCGGTAGAGACAACTTTGACACCGGCTTCTCTGAGCTGATGTATTCTTTTCCAAATTTTAGACAAACTATAAATATGTACATACATACATACATATTCCGTTAATAGCTTCTTTCTCGTATAATTAAACAAAAAACTGATTTGCCTTGATAACTTGATGAGAAAATACCCTACCGGGGTCGCCCTACGGCTGCATTTATATGTAACTGTAGAAATAGAGAAAATTGTGAAAAATAAATTGATAAAAATAGATTTCTAAAGAATTACAGTAGATGCTTTACTGTTGTAGATTTGAACGCAATCTACACTCATACATATGTATGTATGTATGTACATACATAATTTATTGTAGTGATGTCTGCGCTGGAATGACCCATATGTGTAAGTACGTACATACATATATACATATCTGTGTTCGTATGGATTAGTAGCTAATGTCGAAAGGTTGGCTTTAGTATAAGGCAGCATTCTCAGCATACGATTGCGAATGACTCACTGGCGCCGAGCCGTTGAAGAACTTTTAGCAAATAAACGTACAAGAATTAGTTCCGTTACTAGTAAGTCAATATTCTTATTAAGTCTCATCAAAAAATTCGTATAAAGAATGCCGCATTATACTAAAGCCACCTTCCCGACATACGCTATACGAACACAGATATGTAGGTATATGAAAGTATACATGTACATATGTACAATGTAGTACATACCTAGAATAGGGCCAACGATTGTCACTGCCACAGCATTCGGCAAAACTTACAAACTGTTACACCAAAAATAGGAAAAATTAAAAAACTTAACATATTTAAAAAAGTGAAATTAGTGCCGTTAGGTCAACTAGCTATCGTCACGCCATTCCTTGGTTTTATTCTATTTTTACATTCTGTGACTTGTTTGGTTTTCTTTAATTTTTTATTTTGATATTTTTTGACCGCATTTGTTGCTCATTTTGCCCACAACTCATTCCCCAGCAGCTTGCTTATTAAGTATTTAAGCGCGTAATTTACAATTAAAAGCGAACGCGCGACCAACGCCAACAACGCAGTCAAAACAATAAAAATAGCCAAGGAAAAGTTTATGCAGACCAGCAAACTGGTGGCAGGCCTGTTTACATTCATACATACAGTGGTGGAAAAATAAATAAGGACACATTTTAACAAATGTTTCGTATTTTTTTAAATTTATCTAATATTTATTATTTTTTTATAAAAGTATAGCTAATTATCTAACGAAAATCATTTCAATTCATATATCAAACTTTGTGCAAAAATTATAAAAATTCTGCAAAATTTTCAACTTTTTTATCACAATTTTTTTGAGTATGCAGTTTTATAGCCCATTAAATTTTTGTAAAATGATATGTAAGTCTGAAATTCCTAAAAAATTGTGTTTATTTTTTCTTTTTTTTTTTTTTTTTTTTATGCAAGAAAATGCGTTAAATAAAATTGCCAAAAATCAACGCGATTTTTTGGCAACTTAAAACATACACTAATTCTAAAAAACCTGACTAAAAAGTTGAAAATTTAGATGCAATTAGAAATGTTCGGGTATGCAGTTTTGTAGCCTATTCAATTTTAGTCTAATAAATCACCGTTAATTTTTTAGAATTTTTTTTTTTTGAGGGTGTTGCGGATTTTTTTTTTTCTTTAAAAATAGATTTTAATCATGTGTTATATGGAAAAAAATGCGATACATCCAAACAGACTCGCGAGTCAGACGCACCGTGTATGCCGCCTGTTACATTGCATCTGCAAAAAACATAAACTCACTTTCTATAAAAAAGAAAAGTATGGATTAAGAAATCTTTGGCTACCAACCAAGCATGAATGTATAAAAAGAAATTGAAAATATGTATGTTGGTTCCCTTGGCACAGTATTTTTACAACAGCTGCGGCAACATTTTACGACTGCACCAACAAAAGCAAAAAATACCAAACAAAAAATATATATTTACTTACAGCTGGCTGCAGCAAAATCAATTGGTATTAATAGATTTTCCAATGCTGATGAGTAAATGTAGAAGCTGTTTATTAAGAAAAATTTAAATACTGAAAAACTAAAAGTTTCATAAGACACTCATATTTCTAGATTTTACTACATTTGCTGATAAAAACATGCTGCAAGCAATTAAAAAAAAAAACAATTACAATAAGAAGTCAGTAAATTTCTAAATAAAAACTATTTAAAAAAAAAATTACCAAAAAAAATCAATTTTTATAAAATATCTACCAAAACTAAAAAAAGACTCCCAAAAAGTAATAACAGTTATATAAAAAATTTCACAAAATAAAATAAAAAATCCAGAAATAACTCAAAAATACGCCTAAATAAATTATTAAGAAGAAGCTTGCGTTTTATGGAAGATTGGAAAAAATTTATTTCCGATAATTAAGTTACATGAAAAAGGATAGTACTTGCTGCTCACTGCTTCAACGTCCCGTTTTGAATTTGCAGGTAAGGTATATATTTTTTACTACACCACCCCTTATCCACACTTTTCCCTAAACCAAATCCTTAAATATACATATGGACGGTACTATTTTTTTTTTGACTGAATGTTAGTGATTTATTAACAAACTAAATTCGTCAGCGGTATGCGGAAGTCTCAAATACGCCGAAGTCTAGTAAGAAGTTTGATGAAAAGATGTGGTAATTTTTGAATTGGCAACCTTAGCTACTACCGGATAGTTGTCTTTCTATAAACGTACTAGGTCTCTTACTATTCGGTTAATCGACTATCCAAATTGTGAATTTTTTCTATAATTCTGTGTATTTTCCATACATACAGATTTAGAAAAAACATTAAATATTTTGTTTTATAATTTGGCAGATCTTTTTAAAATTAAATAAGTATTTGAATAAAAGAATACACGCGCATTGGGCGAATATTTTTTATTTTGTTTGGGTGTGTATGTACCAGGGACATAACAGTTATAAGTTTTATCGGAATACGTTGTTCCATAACAGTTATTAGATGAGAAGTATTTTTTATTTCGCCGATAAGAGACTTATAAGCCAACGTATACTTTTTACGCTGCCTGATAACTGTTATGCAGGAGAAATATGTTTTCCGTCGCCAATAAGAGTTATTTCCCAGCGTTAATTTTTTGCGTTGCTTGTTAACATTTATTTCACTCCTCCTCTCATATTTTCATCATCTTTATCTTCTTTTCCATCTCCGTTTATTCCCCGCGATTTAAAAAATAAACGTTGGACAAAAACTGTTTACAAACAACGTAAAAAATAAACCTTGGGTTATAATTCTTATCGGGGAAATAAAGAATAGTTTTCATCCAATAACTGTTATGAAGCAACATTTTCGTTAAATTTCAGAATTCGGGCAACGTTTTCAATTTGTAAATTCAAGATCATAGATATTTTTAGTCTCCGATGTGTGCATACATATAAGACGAGAACGCAGTTAAAATTATTTAAAGGTCATTTTGATATATTGTTGTTTACAGTTTTTTGACATTATAGTTAACTACAGGGGTATTAGAGCTAGTTGCCACTTCTACTTTGTTAAATACGTATGCCTTGATAAAAATTAATATTTGTGTTTCGCGACTTGGACTTTGCAATGATTGCCAGCTCAAATAATATGGCATTGTCGCAATTTTGTCGTAAGAAAGTTTTCATACAAAAGTAATGAACCGAGTCGCAAGGTTGCAAATTTTGCAACCACTTTGCGACGTTTCATGAATCCCATTATTGATTCTTGTCATTCAAATTTGCAGTCGTGAACGTCGTCGTGCTTTTCTCTTTAACAGCCAACCGAAGTGCTCACCTGCATTTCAAAGCATTCACCACTAGATGCATCGAAATTCGTGTCCGATGTTCTAAGCGTAATAAGCTTGTGCAATATACAGTTACGATCACTGAAATAGTAGTGCGCAGTTGTGAGATGCATTATGCCCTTGATGTGGCACACTACGCGATATTGGAATCGAGTTTTTTTTAATTATCATCTTTAGGGCCGGTTACTCAATGTCTGGTTAACACTAATCTGCGGTTAAACATCGTTATCGACGTCTTCGACTCCATGCATACAACAGGGAGTCGGTAACGTCGATAACTATGTTGAACCGGAGATTAGTGTTAACCAGACATTGAGTAACCGGCCCTTAGTGTATGATTTAACTCTATGCAAATTTCAAACCGTTCAACACTACGGTTTAATTTTTTTTAGAAGTATCCCCTGTTGTGAACGGCATTTAAGGCGAGCAGTGAAATAGTAGCGCATAACAAAAAAAGTCGCAAAATTTAACTTCAATTGCAAATATTTTAGTTTCTAGAATAAAAAGTAAATTTAATGACTGAGGTTTGTTATACATTTAGCCGGAATGGACAAAAACGCATTTTTGTAATTTTTATGGTACGAGGTCACGAAAAACATGAAATTACTAAAATCCTTATTAAAAAATGGGGAAAACAGATAAAGAACTGGAAAAAATTGGTGGATGTTCAGCCTCCATGATTCGAAATACGTTAACGTATCAAAATCAACCTGAAGAAGGGGGTTGTAAGCAGGAATTATCAACGACTAACATACGGCAAATTATTAAATATTGGATAAAAACTATCAAGGACCAGAATAAGTACGTAAAAACAATGAAGGATGTTATGCTTCCATTCGCTAAAGAGGAAATGCCACTCAAATGGGTACTAGAGCAGGACAACGTCCCGAAGCATACAAGTAAGCTAGTAAACTTGTGGTCTCGGGACAACGGAATTGAAGTCATAGAGTGACCAGGGCTCGAATCGTCACATACGATAGCGTACCACTCGTCGCGAAAAAACATATTTTTCGGATTATGACATACATACGTGAACGTACTCTTTGCCCCATTCAGCTTATACTGCCTGACGTATCACGTAATTTTCTATCGTATCGTTTTCGATCCGTGAATGGATGTTACGATTCGAGCCCAGCTCAATCTCCTGACCTCAATCCTATAGAAAACCTTTAGACCAACCTTAATAAAACCGTATGGGATCTAAAACCAAAAAAATAACCACGAACTATGGGCCGCGCATGGCAGTCAATACCTCAGGAAAGATGTCAACGCCTTGTAGACTCCAATAGAAATTGTAATGCAGCAGTGATTAAAAACAACGGTCATGCTACCAAATACTAAGTAATTGTGCTAAATTTTAGTATTAATATTAGCATTTTAATACAAATTTAAAACTTTTTGTTATGTACTACTATTTTAGTGCTCGCAGCTGTACGTACATATGTATGTATTTTATTGATAACAAATACATAGCTTAGTTCCTCTGTACTTCGTTGTCACCACCACCACTGTTCCTTTTCCTGGACTTGTTTAAGGTGAGTGGAAAGTGAAAACTAAGGACTGATCTACAAATGGAGCAAGTAGCTTCCTAACCATCACTCTACTTTGTAAAAAAAACTCTAGTAAACTTTTTTTCTTGCTCATGTACACAAAAAAAAATATATAAAATGTATTTTTTTTGTTTGACAAATAACGCTTATTACAATGATCGAATATTCGATTTTAAAAAGATATTCGAATAATTGTAGCTTTTCGACTATTCGAATAATCAGAG